TTCAGAGTGGTTACAATTTTTTTTTTATACAACATAGAATGGCAAACAAGCTGACGGCCCACCTGATGGAAAGTGGTAACCGTCGCCTATAGACATGAGCAGTACCGTAGACATAACAGAGTATACGGTTTCGCCCATGATACCCCCCATGCGTTGTCATTCCTGAGGACTCAGGTGTTATTCCTCTGTACCCAGTAAATTCACGCCATATCCCACCCTTCAAACCGAAACACAGCCATGCAAACACTACTGCTTCACGGTTGAAACACGAATGGGACAGAGGTGTTAACTGTTATTAATTAACTGGTGTTCCCACAATTGAAATCTTTTTTTGTGAAGTTTTTAAAAAAATATAATATCTTCTTAGATTATATTTTATTATATGAAATATATATTAATCTGTGTCTGTCATTTTTGACATATTAGTTTAAAAAGGTCGTAGAAAAAAAGTTGTAGTCACTATGATTAATCTATGAAAAAATACTCCTTCAAGCCCAATGACGTATTGATGATTAGTAGAGCACAGCGCCAAGAGATAAACTCATTTTCACGATTATTATAATTAGCAAGGATACATAAGTTAGCACGTGTGAATTTAAATATATATATACCTTTATACAAATGAAAAGTACACTCTGTTAAACAATTGTATAAGAGAAAATTAACGCAGCGTAATCGACGATTAGAGGGTGGTAATAATTAGTCAAATGTAACGAGAGCTAGGAAGAACGTAAAAGCAATATCTGGTTGAGTGGTGTCGTGTAATTGAACGCGGTGGTTTTGTCCAACGACGAACAGTATACGAGTGGAATGGTGTTATCAAAAAGCAACAAGAACAGTATTTCAAGCGTGTATTAATAAATATTATCGGTTTTCCTACAAAAAAATATATAATAAAATTTAAATGATTAAATAATTATATTTTATTATATAGTCAAGTCAGTGGATTATGTTTATTTGTAACTAAATGTGCCAAAATGTATAGAATATTGTAGTGAAAGTTATTAGTTACTTTAAATATCTTTTATTTTTATTTGACTATAAACAGATGTTAGACGCGCTTTTTGAGTGAGATGTCTAACTTAAGACGGTATGTATCTTTCTAAATGCATATATTCTATATATTAATTTATTTTATATAAATAGATCAGTATAGTTTGTATGAACACGAATAATTAGATTTCATTTTAGCAACGGATTTCGGTACATTTGATGCAGCGTATTTGATTAACAATAAAAATATTGATTATATTTTTTTCTAAACTCTTAAATATCTAAATATTTTAGTTATACATGATTTAAAAATTAAATTATAAATTATCATTTTTTGGAAGATACGTTGTGTATATATATATATATATATATATATATATATATATTAATGTATTATGTGTCTATATTTATGCAATTACTAATTGCACTTATTCGCGATTTTTGTGTAATTTTATTGTACCGTATGTACATGTTCATCTGTCTGGTAGGTAAAATTAATTTAATAATCAGGGGGCATGGCAGTGCTTTCGCTGAGTTTAACCTTTTTTCGAAGCGACAAGCGAGTTCATCATTGTTCATAAAGAAGGAAGTTAAAAATTTTATATTATAATTATACTAACAGTACCTAAGAGTATTTTGCATAAATATAACCATCACAATAATAAAGATCTCCACAAAAAAAAAATGTCTTAGTTATATAAACTTCTCGACGTTATATTACTTATTTGATATTTTTTAACATATACCTTCTTTCTATACCTAGTGCTGGCACAAGTCGCTCGTGTAGTGTTGTATTACTCCTTCCATTTATTTACCAGTTACAATGTTGAACGCTTGCCGCGTATAAATTTGGGAATTATATTAATCGCGGATAACGCGCCTCCGACACTTAACGAGGTTACCTTGGATACCTGAGCTCCAAATTACTCTTTATTATACGGATTATACAATAGATATTCAGAAATGTTAAAGGTTTAAATATTTAGCACAAGGTAATTATTTGAAAAAGTATATATTGTATGATTATATTGTAAGATACATTAAAAAGCAACAATTATATTAATTAGTATAGAATTTATTTTTTTTAGAAGTGTTCAATCTCTTTAATTAATATTCTTGGTATTTACCTACATAATAAAATATTAAACGAATACCTTGATGAAGTATATGTTTATAATAATAGCTAATGTACACGGATCAAATTTCCGCATTCAATAATTTTTTTTAAGTTCAAAGATAACGCTTTTAAAATTAATTTGCCGTGATTCGGCAGGAAATACAATTAATTTCCTGGACTATTAACATAAGAATTCTTATGCTATTAACCAAGTGAAATTAACGTAAGATAACACGGAATTAGCGAAGCACCTGGGGTGGGATTAGGTAATCCAGATAACTGAATATATTACCGAAATTACGGACACGAAAAGAACTGAAATTTAAGGGAAAACACTTGAAGGAAATTGTTGGTTTAATCTAAATGGGCTGCTTTCACGACACTCGAAGGATATATCTCACTGCGTTTACTCTGTGCTCTAAGTATTTGGCTTTTGTTTGTGTTATAGAATCACAAAGCTCAACATATTTTAATCTTGTTCGTCTTTGTGTTAACAAGAGCCATCGTCAGAATTAACTGTGCCTCGAAATAAACAAAGTTATCGGCGTAATGGATGTTCTAATTGCCCAGTTTGAACTAAATATTGCGAGTGGCATATCTTACGCTCCTGATTATTATACGGTAGCACTTCTAAAGAAAAAATAAGTGAGTACTTGTGGCTGGTTATCAAAATAATATTATTATTGGATATATTGTTTGTTTTGCATATATACTGTTATTGTTCTATTCTTCTTTATGTCGTTTAATCTAATGCAAATAAAATGTGTTTATTTTCAACAGACATCAAAAGGAAGGAGGTTCTCAATTTGGTTGTATTTTTTATGTTTGTTAATCATAACTCCTTCGGTTTTGGAAAATTCTTTTCTTATGTAAAAACTTACAAATTAATATTTTATATAAATATAAATTTGTCAAAATTAGTACATTAGTTTAGTTTTTAATTTAATATTTGTTAAACACAATCATATTTATTTATTTATTTATTCTTTATCGACCACATTACAAAAAATTTTTAGGTTTTTGTGTGCTGGTCTTAATACTAAGTTGCTTCTTCTCTAAGTCTTAAATTGTATTAATTATGATTTATTTTTAGACTTTATCTTTTGTATTTATAAGCGACTTTTAAAAGAATGCTCTTATTTTAACATATATCTAAACAATCAATGACACTCGCACTACACATTTCTGTAGTGCGAGTGTCGATCTCGTAAATATCGGAAGATGTGTGAAATTGCTAAACCATTAAGGCCATTATGTCTATTTATGAAGTTGTCACTTTATTTATTACTTATATATGCAAATACCAATTATACTTGCATGTATACATATGTATAAAATGTATATTTAAATAAATACATACATATTTACTTTCGACTACAAATTTTAAGGTTTGATGTTATATAATACAAATAAACTGTTCCGTTCTTTTTCTCGAACTCGAAAAACTTTCTTATTTGATAATATCTGAACCTTTTCAATCCAATCAAACAATCTGATTACAGGATCCGTTACTTCGGGAATTTTTTCATCACACTCGACTGTGGTTTAATAATATTAAAAGGATTTTTACGAAACAAATTAAAAAAAAAGGCGAAATTATAAATAAAAAAATGCCTCCGATTGTAATCCCATACGAAATAGAGATATTTGCCGTTTTTCGCATAATATTAGTATTATATTTGAATCTGTGTTAAAGGGCAGCCTTCTGCTGTGTTTAAATTTATTTGGTATGCTAATTGTATTTTTCATCAATGGAACTTTCAATTCAATCACGGAAATAATGTTTGATGTTAATCAGAATTGAAGACTTTTGAATTCTATAAATCGATGTAGTACATTACTAGACCATGACAAATACTTTCTATAATGAGTCACATGCACGTTTGTCCCCTATGATATAAAAAAAATATAAAGATTGATTTGGGATTAATACCTTTAATTTTCTCCCGCGAACGCTCAGGCTGTGGAATGAGCCAAGGTTTCCCCTAGAGACTACAGTATAGGGTTTTTAAAAAGGGTATATTCAGGTTTCTTAAGGGTCGGCAACGCGCATGTACATACCCTAGTGTTGCAGGCTTACGTATGCTACAGTGTCTGTTTACCATCAGACGGACTGTATGATTGTTTGCCACCTTTGTGATATAAAAAAAATACACACTGCCGATTATTTCTACAATATTCCTTAAGTAGCATATATATAACACTTACGGGCGGGAGCACCTAGATACCAGCTTGAACCCTTCGACTCAGTGCAACGACGAGCTATGAGAATTGTCGATGATCCCAGGCTTGCAAGCGGTATCGAACCCTTAAGTCTTAGGAGAGATTTTGCCTCACTCTGCGTATTCTACCGTTTGTACAACGGACTGTGCTCAGGGGAATTATTCAATATGATGCCTGCGGCCACTTTCTATCATCGTACGGCTCGCCATCGGCAGGGAGTTCACCCTCATACCTTACAGCCTAAATGGTCACATACAATGCGGTTTCAGAGATGTTTTCTCCCACGAACACTCAGGTTATGGAATGAGCTCCCTACCAAGGTTTTCCCAAGGTACTACAGCATGGGGTTCTTCAAAAGGGGGGTAAAGAGGTTTCTTTAGGGTCGGCAACGCGCGCATAATACCTCTGGTATTGCAGGCGTTCATAGGTTACGGTAATCGCTTACCATCAGGTATTGTTTGCCACCTAAGTGGTATAAAAAAAAAATATGTGAATCTAAATGCGGTGTGAAAATACCCTCGCAAAAATGTCTAACAGCGCAACAATGCGTTTTTTTTTGTTCTACACCCATATTTTTATATAAAAAAAATCGTAATAAAAATATCATTCATAATATTTATTCTGTTTAAAGATAGAAAGTAAAAAAGGGAGAAATTAAAATCCAAAGTTATTTTGTACAATTTATTTGAGTCATCTCCATATACGAAAGACAACATTTATATTTGAAGCGAATTTTATTTACAACATCACATTATTATAATTATATAAAAAAATGTCATCATAAATTTAAAACTTATAATAAAAGCTCCCTAAACTGTTTTTGGCACTTGTATTATATAAATACTTGCAATTGGAAAAAGTACCTAAGTATATAATATAAATCGACCTACCCATTGTTGGACTAGAAAATTACTAAACAATTTCTAACATACATTATATCTACTAACAATTTGGTAGTACGTAAGCTGGTTGATTTAATACTTGATTATGTTATGTAGTATTAATATTATAGCAATAGTTGTTATTTGTGACTGCACTTAAATGGTGCCGGTTTTTCCCCTTTCCTGCAGAAAGTTCTAAAACTAATAGCATTTTGGGAATTTCTGTAGGTAAGTTTACACCTCATAAAGAATCTAACCGCTACATTTCAATTAAGTGATCTAGTTATTTATATATATGTACTCCAGATGTTATGAGTGACGGCGTATTATTTTATTTATTGTATAACAATAAGTGATAGAGTATGTAAATATCATCAGTGGGGTCAATTCTGAAGCACTATTTATTTAAACTTCTTTTAACCAAATATTTTTGATAGTTTTATGTTTATGGAAATTTTTAGAGAAATGGCACTTCAGAATCGATCCTAGTATCTTTTAGATAAATTAAGTTAGACTAAAGTACTTAGTCTTATATTTTTATTAGTTCGGAAAATGAACCCGTGAACTTTTGATGGGCTACATCTGTCGAATACATATCAACTTATATACTCGTAAATCTTATATGATTCATCTGAAATTTTTTTAATAAATCAGTCAGCGGGAGCCGATGGCGATTGCCATAAAACGCTTTTTTAACTTACTAATTCTCACAATATAAATTATACCTAATTAAGTAAAAATAAGATATATTCATGAATAAATTTCATTAACAAATTCACAAAAGTTTCATTGAGAAAATTCTTATATTGATTACACCCTGGTTTAAGATTGGTTTTCTTTGTTTAATTATATTACGTATTTTTAGTTTTGTCTTTGGACAGTCAATCAAGAGCAAGATGATCTATAAAGAAGGTCCATCGTGTACACCATTTACAACCACGACTACTCTGACAAGAGTGACCGACGAAGAAGAAAAGTAGTTAATATCAAGACATAATTGAAGTAAGTACAAATTGACCCGTACCTAAATTGACAAAAGTAAAAGTAGGTCATCGGTGCCTGACATAAACAAATTAAAGTGATTAAGTATGACAAGCAAACAGGAAAAAAAACATGGTTTATTTATTGGACAAATAAAAAAAATCATTAACTACTTTTAAAGAATTTCTTATACGTAGATAACTACCGCATCAAGACTATAAATTAGAAGCTAGCTTTATTTTGTATTAGTAGATCCTAAAATCTTATACAACCAATAAATCATTAGTGTGTAATTAAACAAGTGTTGAGATCAGTTTGCACTACTTTACAACTAGTTACAGTCAAACAGTTGAAGCCAAATACAATACAATTTTGTACATAAATGTTGTGTATAAACACTGGAGGGAGTGCGATACTGGACGTTTGTGTTCTTCGACCCTTACTCCTTATATCGAATCGACTTAACAGAAATACATTTAGACGTTCATACCTAAAAGAACGTAAATTTTTAAAAATATGTGTTGTTCTCAAAATTTTCGTTCTTTATTTATGTATTTATCTATATATAACTGAAAAACAGAATTTTAATAAACTTACTAGGAATGCTTGTATGACAAGTGATAATATTTTGGACTTTATTCGGAAATTTTGTTCTTAAACGTATAAATTCCCGTTGTCTATTTATATATAAAAATACATAATTTGTGTAACTTATTATTATTATTTCTCACACAGAAACATGGGTCGAAAAACGACAAAAACTTAAAGCTCACTATACTAACACGACAGGCTAAACACACCGTGTTAATATGAGAAGTTAAAAAATTTCGTTGTTTTTCCTATTTAAGTTTCTTGAGGGAAAATGTTCAATTTTCCTGGTATTTTTTTTACAACACTTTTTTTTTGTATAGCAAACTTAAAAAGTTGCTAATGATTTCTATTTCAACCAGTATTCAGTCTATACATATTTCTGTTAAGATATTATATATATTAGGTATACTTATATTTACTATCTACTTACATATATCACGAAAATGTAGAGAACAATGAATACACATTATTTTGTTAATTAAAGTTTTTTTAAACATCAAATCTGAAGTTTGTTGGTTGCTGGTAAAAAAAAAATAGAGTAGATACTACGAGAATTTAATATTTTACAACCATAGTATTGTTTACAATAACACAGACAGAAAAATCACTATTTAAGCCACAAGATAGAGATAAATAAGGCTCAACTGATTTATTATACACATTTGGCTTCTGTAAACGAAATCTGTTTTCATTTAGATAGATATAGAGCAGCGAGTCCGTCCACGAGCGATAGGTATAGGCGCTTGACCAATATATTATTCTTTTGCTCAGTGAAACGTGAACGCTTCACCAAAATATCTCGCTCACAGCCATTTTAAAATGAATTTCGATTCATTTACATTTTTCGATGAGCAGGTGAAATAATATTACGTTATAAATACGATACAATGCATTCGCTTATCTAAACAATGTGTCGTAAAGCAGGTACGTTGACTCCTGACTTATTCCAAGTTGACAGATTCGTGATTTTTATAATAGAAGCTTACAAATGATTATTCTACATCATTCCATCGAAAATATTATCTACCACATAAAAACAAATGCCCGTCCTATAACTACGTGAGTCTGTTTAAGACGCTAGACGGTACTGAAGTGATGTTCAAATACGATAAATTTATAAAAATAATATATCTACTTTTGCTGCCGCTATACTCGGCCATCAAGCGTCTGTACATTTTATTAAAATTATATACAATTATCGTACTACTGACATTTATAACTAACACGGGTAATAAAGAGAATGACTCGTAAAAACCTTATGGAAGTTATGACAAATTTTCAGATGTCTGAGATCACAATATCGCTTGGCAATATAACCTTAAAACTAACCTTATTCTCAAAGTAAAGACTAGCAAGTTCTATGAGATCATTCGTACATACTAACTATTACTTAAGTCGACATTTTTGTGAAGCAAATATATTATTTTTACTTGGATACCTTGCAGACGCTACTGTCATTCTGTTACAATAACAAGAACACACTAATTGCCTTTTAAGTAAATGATTAGTAATTATTAATTTTATAATTGAATCTTTAATTGGAAATCCTATTTTTTATTTTGAGTAATATTTAATCGAGATTCATATAGATAGGTCATAAAGCAATCAATAGTAGATTATTACGATTATTGAGCACCTAATAGATTCCACGTTCCATCTACACATTTATCCTCTAGATAAGTGGCAAACGATAGATTACGTTAGTGGTAAGCGTAAGATAGAATCAGACGCCTGATGTTGCTGCTTCGTTCTATTTCATACCCGCATAGGCGATAACGTATCTATCGATCGATTTATTTACCTTTTGTCTAGGGAAGTTGATTATTTATACGTGTAGAAAATATACCACTAAATTTAACAGTACTGTTAAATAATAAATCTGTCCTAAATATTTCATAGCGGTTGGTCATCGGCAAACAATTTGAGCATTATTTTAATAACATAGTATTAAAAAAATTACATAGAAAAGCGTTTTACTGTACAAGTTTAATTGGGGTCAATTCTGAAGGTTATTCTCTAAACTTGTTTTTAATATTTTTAAAATATTACCTTAGAAAAATATTATATTACGGACCACCAAGAACAAAAGTTTGAAGCAGTTTTGTCTTGATTCTATTATAAAGGATCATACTTATTGAAACATAGATAACAGACTTCAGTGTTATTATCGAAATAGGATCAATTTATATAAAATTTCAATTTTAGTTTTAAAAATAGAGAATGGCAGTTCAGAATCGATCGCTGTCTATGGTTTTGTTCAGCTTCTACATCTACGAATTCTTGAGGTGGTGTGCGTCGTGATCGCATCGGCGGAGGACGGCGAAGTGTGTCATTTGGAAGGTGTTAGTAGACCGGCTTCCTCGCTCCAAGGTGCCTGTCATTGTGTAACCCATGTTGAAATCGGCTTGGGTCACGTTTGTTGTTAGGTACAACTGTTGGAAAATAAACACACTGTAATTGTAAGGTTGTACAAGCACTTAAAAAGATTAGATACTGTTTATATTATATAGTAGATATGCCCACGTTAATCCATAACATAAAATATCCATAAGAAAAATGTTATATGCTTTCTAAAAAAGTACCTAACCTTTACGGAATAATTTTCAAGAGAAATAAGTATCTCTTGTTAGCTTTTATACCAAGAATTTAAATACAACATTTCGAGAATTTAAAATGTTGTACAGATTTCACTCTATTTTCTAAATTCATAGTAATCTTTGGGACGAGGCATGCGGTCTTAGCTGTCAGGAGTGGTAATCAATTTATATATTACTATATAAATTGATACTATTTGGATCATGTTTATAAATCATTATCAATTAAAAGAAGCATCAGTAGCTCTTTTACAAGTACCGAGTAGATATAAGAAAGTAGTAAAAACACTTTATAGACAGACTAGCAGAATGAAGATTGCTGAAGGAGATTAGAAGAAGAAACATAAAATTATTACAATAGAACATTTTATGTAATATTTTTTTTATTATTACCTTAAAATCGGCATCGGTACCAAGATGTTTAAACGTGCCTACGATGTACACAGCATTCCCACCACTGATTACCATCCGTGCGTGTGTACTATGCCTGTGAAAAATATTAATTATAAAGTATCATTTAAAGATTTAATAATATAAGTCTATAATAGTATAAAGGATATAATAATATTAAATTGGCCGTGTGGTCCCGGCATAAATTAGGCCACCCCTTCCTTTCCCGTGGATGTTGTAAGAGCCAACTAAAGAAAGGCGAGGGAGAGGCAGCAGTGTCCTTCTTAAAACAAGTCTAAAGCCTGACTGTGGTTGCCAATCCGCCTGCCAAGCGTGGTAACTATTGTAAACTATGTAACTATGGTAAAACCCCCCAAAGGGAGAGGCATATGTTCAGTAGTGGACAGTTAAAGGCTGATTTGATGATGATGATGAATATAAAGTCTCTATCTAAACAGTAAGAAACTTGATTAAATTATATACAGATAATATATACAATATGCATATGTTTAGCAAGAAAATTGACTATTGAAATCAGATACATTATGTCAACAAAAGGTTCTACGAATCTTCATCGAGAGCATAGCTTTTTGTTGATAGCAAGCATAGGGTTGAATGGAACCGTTTCATTGTAATAATTTTTAATATTAATATAATATGAACCTTATAATTTATAATGAATTACTAAGTTTGTTGTTTCTATCGAGTCAGATAAGTCACGTTCAATTAACGTTCGTTTACGATTGCCCCATCTGTAGTTATCTACTTATCAATATATTTTCTATTTATTTCCCCACTTAAGGTTGGTACTAGTATTGTAGTCAAGGTCACAAAGGGAAACTCCTTTATATTAAAGATAGTAAGATAAATGCGTGGTGTTCAAGAGTTGGGATTTGTGACGTTTGGTGTGTCCGGGTAGTCCGCATGCCTGGCACGTAGTTCTGTTAGTAGGGCGCGAATCCAACACGTACCTACCGAAACCCTAACGGTCGATGTAATGGCAGCCGCCCTATAATAGCCCCGAACATCGCGCAGCACGCTCCGGGAAGCGCGCGAACAAATTAAAAACCTTTATGCGCACTTTCGCACTACTTTCTTCGATGTTATCACCCGCTATAACGCGTCCCGAAATTTGGAATGAGCTCTGAAATTAAATTGGTGTAGAAGTTCAGGTAAACCACTACATACGTACAGGCGTTTACGAGTAACATTCCAAGGGTGTTTTTCTTTGTTAATGGCTTGCTAAAGTGTGGTGCGAGATTGTCGGGATAGCTTTAAAATTGTGACTGCAGTTAGCCTAGCCTAGGTAGATAACATAGATATATTTTTTTTTTTTATTTTTTGAATTGAATCAAATAAGAATTAGCAGCTAATAAAAGAACATTTTTTTTGCGATTACGATTAGAAAACAAGATAATAGGCCAAAAAAATGAAATGAAATTTATTTGCTAACTGATGGAAACTGTCCGTGGAATATCCTGTAATTCTACTGCCATATTCCAGCCTTCAAATCGAAACACAGTCATGCAAGCACAGCTGTTTCACTGCAGAGAACAGAATGTTTTCAAAATGGTATGACTGTACGATTGTTCGGAAATTTTATAGTAGGATTTACGTAAAATAAAGCATTACTCTCCTGATATAGATATGAACATGCATACGAAATTCGAGTTCGTAACTTCGGAATTTGGTTTCATGGTAGTAGAATAAGACAATGTACGTTTCTCTCTAGGAAAAGATCTCTCGACCAGTGTTATCATGAAATACGGGATCATTTGTGGGGAATAGTGAGGCGGGTGGCAATAATCGTTAACACTAACGGTGCCCGTTTAACTCCCGGTATCGTAGCATCGACATTTTTCCACGGGCAAACTTCTTTTTAACAGTTCTGTTAACATGGGGCAACTTTATTAAACTTCTAGTTATAGTACGATAAGAGGTTTTACATTTGTCGCATATTCGAAATAGGTAACTACTTTAGTTTTAAAATAAGTATATAAAGTTTGTATTCAATTAAAATAACTCTCTTTACTGTTACAACAAAGTAGACAAACTATTAATAGGTTTATTTTAAAGCTGTTTACGCTGTTAGAAGTTATCCTTATTAATAAGTTTATTAATAAGATATTTATTGATAATGTATGGTAATCCTATTGATAATGCAATCCTATTAATATTATAACTGTGAAAGTTTGTAACGAAGCTTATATGTTTGTTTATCAATAGATTTAAATGAAATAATATGTACATATATATATACATATACACATATATATATATACACACATATATATATATATATATATATATATATATATATATATATATATATATATATATATATATATATATATACATATACATATATATACATAAAGTATATACTATTTCACTCAGATAAAACCGCGAAAAACATGGCCTAGAAACATAAATGGCCCTAGGGAATGATTCTGTGCCACTTGCGATTGACTGTGCCATTTAAGATTGTCGCGTCGATGTAACAATATACTATTACTATACGATTAATATACGATTACCCTGCATTTACATATCTTAAGAATCTTTCTTATCTGCAAAATCACTTGTTAAAACATATAACGTCTGCGTGCAAATCATCGCCTACTCGTATTTTGTTTTATAAAAACGTCATTAAAACTAGATAACATGTTATCCTATTAATAGAGATTTAAAAAGAAAAGCAAACAAAATATATTAAAATAAATTAAACCATGTATCAAGAACGCTTTAGTAATAAATAGCATCTCATCCACATTAAGCCCTTTAGCGTCGGGAATATTTATTTACGGCACGTTCGCGCCACTTTTCAGTGTTTCGTGTTGCGGCGGCGCGGCGGCGGCGAAGCGCTACGATCTCGCGATAGTGGCGCTCACAGCCACCCACTTCCGGCCGTTTGTCAACACCTGAGGATTGCTTACCTGAATATAGTGTTAATTGCGAAAAACATCGTAGCATAATGTACAAGAAACGTGATAAATATTTTCCTACCCGACGCGCCAAAATATTTAATTTTTTATGTATGTATACAATTGCGAATAAATGAGAAAAGAATATTTTTTATAATTTTAGATATTTTAAACCTCTGCTCTTACCGGATTATATTCCTAATACTTGTAATAATAATCCGAGATTTGCGTAGGTCGTGAGTTTAATCTTAATCCAAATAAAAACTTTATAAAGTGATAAATAGCATTAGGAGTAATGCTCAGTTTTTACGCCTCTCAATTGAGATAATGGAATTATCATCATCATTTCAGGCATTATCCGTTTACTGCTGGACATAGGCCTTCCCTATAGACTCCCGTAAGGAACGATTCTGTATCCACTGACTTCCTGCAATGCATCTGATATCGTCACTCTATCTAGTGGGGGATCGTTCTACACTACGTTTGCCCGTACAGAGCTGCCACTTAAGACCCTTTCTTCCCCATCGGTTGTCGGTTCGTCGAACTATGTGACTAGCCCATTACCACTTCAGCTTGCTTATTCTTCGAGCTATGTCGGTTACTTTGGTTCTTTTGCAGATATCCTCGTTTTGGGTTTTATCACACAAAGAGTCTCCGAGCACAGTCCTCTCCATAGCCCGCTGAGTAATTTAAAGCTTTTGCATACGGGCAATCGTGTAAGACTATGTTTCAGTTCCATAAGTCATCACTGGCAACTGGTTAACGACCTTCGTCTTCAAATTCTGAGGTACTTTGAATGATGATATACCTAATGGAAGGAAGGTGTTTATTCTATATTTTAATATTATTTTATTAGAGGATAAAATAATATTAACATATATTAATATTTTTTATCAATATTATTAAAAGTATATTCCTTTTGTATCTCTTTTAAATATACTTTTTACTTATTCATATGTCTATGTATATTGCATGCATACAAAGTAAATAATACTAGTAGTAAATTTTCTTCTTTTAATATAAAAAAAAATGTTGTTATAAAAAAGACAATAAATACCTTCTAGTTCCAGCGACTTCAACAACTTTACATCGTGACCGCCGCCACCAGCACGGTTGAAGGGTCCAGTATGAAGAAGATGCACTTCGAGCCCAGCCTTCTTCCGGGAATAGTAACACCTATAACCAATGACAACATAAGTAAATATTTTTTTTAAATAAATCGTTAATATTTCTTTAAAAAAAAAGACATTTTCATTAAGAAGTTCTACGAAAATTAGATTAAATGTTTCATTTACAAGTTCCCAAAACGTACAAGTCGTTCAATTTATAACGATGTTATCTTAACAATCGCGGCGAATATCAAGACGCTATGTTTTATCAATATTGGTATCTTCAATATAACGGAGAGAGCTTCACGAAACGTTGAGTACGAATTAACTAAATTAGAAAACTTTACAAGACCTTTCGACGGCGGGTTGAAAAATAGCTTTTTGACTAAAACTAATATTGCAGGCAAGGAACAAAACAGAGCGGAGTTGTAACGAAGTTGTTTCAGGCGCCTGAGTTTACAACCGCGGGCGGTGGAGTCTGAACCGTGGCGTCGCTCGTTTTCGTTTTAAGCCAGTGCACATCCGGTGGGTGCTTTATCGATAACGTAAACGCGGGGCTGTATCGCCGCCGAGACTAGTCCGCTCGATTGGCTCCTGGCATTCCGTTTTCATTTTCTTCGCCGCCACTTGAGGAACATTTTTTTTCGTAAAGAGTTTTCCTGCTTTCGACAATATTGCGCCAGTTTCAAAGAGGCGGAATCGTCGGGGATGAAATCGCTTTCACATTGAGTGAGCACACTAATGATGGAGTTCCGTAGAGGACGACCACGTCTAGCATGGGGACACATCGCGCTCGCTGCCGTGTGCCGGTGTAGGCTAGTCTCCATCCTGTCCCCGGCTCCGTCCCTGTCGAACGGCGACCCTTTGACGAGTGTAACTACCGCTTAATGGATTTAAAAGCATTTCATTGTAGCGTTATTCAAATGGAAATAAAATTATACTCTTTTAGTAGGTAGACAATAAAAATTAAAAGTATCTGTTATTTACTATAGATATACGAATGAAGTGAATATTAATGGCTAATCTAACAAAAAAGACGCTATGTTACATGGTGCCCTTTTCTTGCCAAGATATCGATTCTTACGTTATATATGATGTAAATCCAAAGAAACATTTGTTTAGGTCCCATTATTAACCGACCTCCGTGGCACACTGGTGAGCACGTTGTTTTACCTAAATAAGGTTCCTGGTTCAATTCCCAGACAGGCTAATTTAGGAAACGATTTTTTCTGAATTATCTCGGGTCTGGATGTTTTAATTCCTTTCAGGATCGATAGTTTTAATTTCAAGGTTTGCAATAGAGTTCAAGTTACCTAGTCTTAAAGACTATTTCTTTTTTAATCATAAATATTTAAAATTTGAAAACATAACGAATATGTATTAAAAATTTGTCTACTATATAAGTTGGTATATCCGTATTGCAAAAATATGTAAAAATTCAATGCTTAAACTTTACTCAAATAATTTAACTAATATAGATATTCATTTGTATAATTAAATGTAAGATTACACGTAGTGATTACTTGCTATGTGGGTTACACTTTAAAATATTTAATAAATAATATGTATTAATAGCAGGGTTGGCAGATCCGATTTTTTCCTTTTCCTCAAATATCAAACGTTTTTTCTTTAAAATGATATAATTTCCTTAACGTTCACCCAATCACGTTTTACCAGGAAACCATTCATCTGCGCGATGAAAAAATAATTGAAGAAATACTAATACTCTCAAATAAATTGGTCAAAAATTTTCATAATGACTTCAATTTTCTCTAAAAATTTTTTCAATAGATAATATTTTATCCAAGATTGTCGAAATAAAATACTCAATTTGACAATGCTAATAGTAGATTACCTATTAGCATAAGTGGTGTAAGTAATGTAGTAAGTATAGAGTTACTATAAGTACAGTATAAGCACCTGTAGGTAGAATGCAAATTAATTCTGTTGTACGTAGAGTAGCGTACTTGTAGGTACATTATCAGTACCTATTGGCATTGGTTATATATAGTATCGTGTAGTTGGGAATCGGAAAGTCACGTCTGTTCCCAGCGGTACATGCCAAGTCGATGTTGCCCATTTTAAGTTTTAGTAGCTTAGACTAACATCATATATCAGAATATATGTTGCTAGTTAGTTCTGGACTCTGGATATCGAGGGAACAGATTCCTAGATATGCAGAATAATGCAAACTTTAGTATACTTGTACCATACACTTGAATCTTAATAATGGACACAGTGGAATAGCTAGGATACATAGCCACACCCGGTGTACTTATAGTATTGTACAGTGTTATATCAGGTCAATAATAATATTTTAATTAGGCTTAGGATTATATTATACTATTATTGTTATATAATTATATATGTTTTATATAGGTACATCATAATATTACAGAGTTATAAAGTACATAGTAATAACGAGAAATGATCTAACTGAATTATGTTTACGCTAAATAGTGATATTAAGGTTTCTATTGATAAAAGCGTTTATTATAGTTTCTAAAATTGAGTAATTAATTAGTAAAGACAAGATTAATCAGAATGGATAAATAATGGCGAAACTCAGTGATATCAGGAAACTGAAAAGCTTTTCCTAACGAGTATTAATTGAGTATGCACATTATTAAGTTAAACTATTAAGCTAAAAACCTCATTTATTTATCCTAAACTACCTACGTATGAAAAATGGGCATAGCTAGTTTATAATATTGATTTTATTTATTTATTCATGTAATGCACTTGTAAATTACAATATTACAATTTTTTTTTCAAAACTATTAGTAATAAGAAACAGGAAATTTCATTTACTATATTCAGCTTTACTCAGAGTATATAAACTCAGCTGTATAAAGAGAAGAAGCTGTAGTTGTAGAATGGAGAGAGGTAATGCTATCAGTAACTTTGGAGTGTTATCTTATTCTGTGGCGTTATTTAAATAAATAATTAAACTTTGTACAAAAAACCATATAACTCGTGGATAAGGGCTAGTATTTGATACAATATCATAGGTAAAATGATTATCATAATTACCCTAACATCTCAACGCTGGGCTCGAATTTCTCCTATTACCGTGTACATGTAGGTAGATCAGGCGGCTCGCTACAGGAATTTATTTCGAGTTTTCCTTTGCTTGTACTAGTATAGTATTAAATTATCTGTGCTTGTGCTAATTATAAAAAAGGAGTTCTCATTTTGCTTGTATATTTTTTTTTAATATTTATTATCTTATAACTCCGTCAGTTGTAAACCGATTTGGAAAATTCATTTTTCTTTTTGGAAGGATTATTACTACAGATTGATCCCAATAAAATTTTATCAAATTCGGTTCAACAGTTTGTAAATCAGAATTACTAGTTTTGAAATAATTAAAGTCGTTTTTTTACGGAACACAATTTAATTATACTATAATATAAATTACATACTAACTTGATATTGTAATTTTTATTATAAACGCGAAAACACTTGTACTATTTTCACATTTTTTTCCCCCCTATTACAATACATTTTTGATACAACACTTGACACACATAAGAAATTTTGGCAAACATAACAAGTGTTTGTAGTAAGTAAATCATTCAGAAATTGAATTTCACGATGGAAGGAGAAAACAAATTTTATATATTCCAATTCAGTTCTACTATATTTATTCGAGTGGTCGTTGCCAAAACGTTGGCAAATCACGTCGCGTCGGTTGGAACGGAGTTCAGTTATAGTTGAAGTTCAGAGCTAACGGAGAGCCCTCAAACTGCCTCCAATGCCTACCATTAATATTCAATAGGCACCTCTTGTGTCCGGCCCATCAACACCTTTTTTGCGAAGCAATCAGTTTGTATAAGAGTGTCATCCAATTACATTCAGTTCACAAACACCGAGAAAATGGCGGTTTATTAATTGCTTTGTAGATTGCAATCCAATTCGATTTTATTTCTATAAAGAATTTGTATTGTGTGTATGATGGTGTTTTTGACGTTTATTTAACTAAATGACTGTTATATCAATATTATTTGATCGAATAATAACAAGAGTGAATTGCATAGTTTATATCACAGACGTACCTACTACTCCTCCCTCCCCCTTATTCTTAAAAAACTAAAACCTTTTACGAATCAATTTTAACAAATGAGGAATTATGTTACAAGAGAAAGAGGACAAAATAGTTCAATAGCTAAAATAAGTTTGATCTGTATGTATATAATAAATTTGGTCTGACGTTTTTATGAATAAGGGGATAGATGTATAACGTAGGTACTTAGTGTCTTTGTCTATTTTAAGAGTTCTTAAAAAATATTATTGGGAAAATAGTGGTAGATAGACATTCGTAGATGTTTAATTTTCGAAATTCTAGATTTATCGAAATTCGTTAAAGTGTCGGTATTAGCTGATAATAAATATAATAGGACTTTTATAATATAGAACACATGTGTTAAATTTCAGTGTTCTTGATTTTTTTAATTATACCAATTGTTAAATTATTTGTAATTAATGTTTTATTATTAAATTAATTTTTTTAGTTAATAAATTGACTGTAAGCCGCGATATTGCTCGTATAAATTAATAAATTTTATGTTAAAAGCTGATGATGATCCTATATTTTTATTGGAATGTTCATATACATAAAAAAAAATAGTCGCATTAAAAAGAAGAGATGAGATTATTTTTTGAAATCTGTTTAAAATGTTAAAAATTACATAACAAATTAGGGGAAATCAGAGGTATTTCAGTGCCAGAATATTTTAATTTTTACATTCCATATTTTCATTTGGACTGATGTAGATTACGTTGAGTCGAGTCGATAGTCACGTCCTGGTACTCGACGATACTTGACAGTTCACTCGTGCCCGTTGCTAGCATTTAGTAGAGCCTCCTGTAGGTACGTTTTACAAAGAAGTAACAATGGTAGGAGTGATCGCGTATTAAAGTAATATTGTTTTAAGAAAGATTGTAAAGAAATTGAGATGTTTATACTTTTATTATTTAATTATAAATGGATTTAAATAAAATACGTTGCATAACCTGGATTAACATGAAGAATATTTTTTATCCTAATTCACATAGGAGTACAAC